GACAAATGCTTTTATTTTTCCTTCAACGTCTTCCTGCTTTCTTGTTTCTTCTTGCTTTGGCTCCTGATAAATTTAATCAATTTCGGGGCCCCATTCGGAACACTCCTCTGTCTCCACAAGGAGCATAAACAACTAAATTACTGGAGGCGCTGATGTATTTTTATTTTTTCTAACGCTCGGCTCAAGCTCCAAGTTTTACTTTTGTTTTGCCTTCGGCCTGTAATCAATTTCAAGTAGAAAATTAATAGGGACGGAAACAATTCTCCAGCAGAGGGAGAGATAAAATTGCCCAAAACTTTTATCATCTCAGCAGCTTTGTGAAGTCCTGCCCCATTTCTCCTCCAGTTTAGGAACAGAAATGAAAAGATTCACATAATTTCCCAGCCCTTAAAGAAATGTGTTGATTCTATTTTTGAGTTCTGCTCTGTTGTTGAGGGGCGTTAATGGTCCGTCTGATCATCAGTGTCCTCTTTTGGGGAATTCACGCCGGTTAGCGGGAGTCCCATTAGATTGCTATGAAAAACAAACCATCTGAGTCTGGGCTGAGTGAAAATGTCTGCAGGGAGTCTTTGATTTTTAACCAAGCGGTGGACTAAAAAGTACAAAATAAGACGCATCTACCCCGACTCAGATCATTTTCTTGTCAGTCATTTTAAGCTAAACTACTAAATCTGTCTTTTAGTGAAATACAGTAATCAATAATGCAATTATCAACTGCAATAATGGTTACCATGCAGCCATTTTGTTCATTTTAACCTGATGTATTAAATGAATATCTTCAATACTAAGCACCAAAATCAAGTGCTAATAATGAAGCATTTAGTGTTTAAGTGGCACAAAGTGGCATTTTATAGAATAATACTTCAGTTGTTAGAAAAAGGCAATATATATCAAATATGATTTAAAAGAGATTGTACTTTTATGCCTTGAAATTGGGCCTCTGTCTCTTTAAAAACCCCTGTTCTTTCTGAAACTCCACCTTCCAGATGTCATCACAACACAAACCCTTCAGCAATGTTTTCAGCAGTGTTGCACTAAAAAGTAGCTCCTATAATGAGCTCAGCAACACAAGACGTTCCACCAGGTATTTGCTAATTGCTGCTGGCTAGTCTGAAGGAGCTGAACGTCCATGAAAGAATCAAAGCAACACTCCAGGTATATTTTGATGAGGGAATGACATTATAAACCGATGTAAAGCTGAAAATAACAAAAAATCAATTTTACATAACAGTATGTTAATTTCCTATTTTCTTTCATAATTTTTTAGAGTTGGATATTTCTAGATTAAGCCCAAAATTATGCTTATACAGTGCCATCTGTGGGTATGGCAACCTCTACTGGAGACTAAAGTTCATTTCATTTGTTGGTGTAGTTTTAATGGAGACATGGCAACATTTACAGCCTGAGCTAATTTGTGATGTCTAGTTCCTAGTTGGGTAATTGGATCACCTATTTTCTTTTTTGAGTGTGTATTTTCTTATTCTAAAATAAGAAAATGCCACACTTAATCACCCTGTTTCCATTGTCTAGTAAAATCCACCTGAATTCTAATTAACACGTACACTCATTTCTGAGTTCCTGAGACACTGCCCCCTAGTGCGCTGGGAGAGAAACTGGCATCATGCTAAACATTTGGTATGAGGTGATTTCCCACATTATTCATCACTTCTTTACACTGAAACACCTCTTCATTTAATATGTTAAACACTAGACTTTCTCCAGCTTAGAGAAAAGACCTCCAGGTGGTCATATATGGCTCTTCTGGTGATTCTGAGGTGTCAAGATGCCACATTTTCCCTCAATTCTTCACTGTTGAGAAATCTTGGTGCTGTATTATTACTATTATTATTATTTCTTGCCATCCTGCTAACTGTGTGTTTTCTGACAAGTTTCGATTTGCTTTCTTGGCCATTTTCTGATATGACGAAATTTACGCGAATTGCCTGTTCCCTCGTCTTTCCCATTTTGATATGTGAATAAGATTATGATTATATTGTTGATTAAAGTGACTGATCACCTTGGAAAAGTAAAAGTCAGATTATAAATGAATACATTAATTTTGTAGGAAATGTTGAAAGGAAGCCTAAATAAAATAGTGTGAGATTTTGGAGCTGGAAATAACATTTGGGAACATTTATAGAAAGGTTGAGCTCCTCTGATCCGCACTCTGCACGTGTGAAACCCCACAAATCGCCACAGTTTGGGCTTATCTGTTTAAGATGCATGCCTTCCCGCTTCAATCTGCATATCTCTGTCCACATGCTGCCCGCTTCTTCAGCCTCTCCTTTGCTCCAGAAGGCTTCAGCGATGGGAATGCTCTCATTGCTCCATCTAAACACACAATGGTGTAGAAACACAACAAACACGACCAGCTTCTGCAACATCTAAGTGTTTACATGTGTATCTTTAGCCCAAATGATAAATAATACATTTCTTGTGTGGCCTTCTAATCACAAATGAAACAACTCAAAAAGAAACATTAAAGCGTTCACCGCTGTGCTCCTCATCCTCGGTGTCCATGGAAACAGGAACCTTAGAGACGCGCAGCAGGGTCAGGCGCTGGCGATAGTTCCCGCTTCACGTCGTCTTCAATGGCCGTTAATCATCTCGCTGGGAGACGGTGCTGGCGAAGGAGGGACCGGGCCCGAGTGAAGTGCTGCCGCCATGTCTGAGTGAGTCCCCCCAACGAGCGCCCCGCGGCGCGCGCTAAGCTAATCAAACAGGTTAGCCGTACCTGAGTGAAGTTGGCCCCCCCACCTTCTTCAAATCAGACAAAAATGGTGTCAAATGTTTGTGCTGCGCTTGTGCAGCAAAAATTTTCGTTTGTGCTGCTATCATTTGAAAGATATAACGAAATGTTTTTAGAGGTCATCAAAGGTCAACCAGCCCCCCCCCCACCTTCTTCAAATCAGACAACATTGGTGTCAATCAACTCGGCTGCGTTTGTGCTGGTTTGTGCAGCAAAATTTTTTGTTTGTGCTGGTATCATTCTGAAGATATTAAGAAAAATGTTCTCCAGGGGTCATCAGAGGTCAACCACTCCCCTGGCCCTACTCACATTTGGAAACATAAATAAATTTGGTGTCAATCAACTGTGCTATGTTTGTGCTGGTTTGTGTAGGAAACTTTTTCCATCTATACTGGTCTTACAAATTATAGCACTATAAACTATTATTAGTTATATAAATAATAAGGTCATCAAAGGTCAACCAGCTCCCCTACCTTCTTCAAATTAGGTAAAATGGGTGTCAATTTACTTGACTACATTTGTTCAGCAAAAATGTTCGTTTGTGCAGCTAAAATTTTAAAGATATTAAAAGAAAAGTGTCTTGTCCAAATGTGAGTAGGGCCAGGGGAGTAGTTGACCTCTGATGACCCCTGGAGAATATTTTTCTTAATATCTTCAGAATGATACCAGCACAAACGAAAAATTTTGCTGCACAAACGGAGCACAAACGTTTGACACCAATTTTGTCTGATTTGAAGAAAGTGGGGGTTGTCCAACTTCACTCAGGTGTTAGCCGTTTGTGAGCTCGAGTCTTAGCTGCTTCGTTTTGGACCGAACGGTTCCCTGTTTGCTTTTTAACATGACAGCAGAAACAAACCAGGACCGCATTCACACTCAACACTTCATTTACATTTATATGACAACAAAATAAAACAGAGTTGTTTTTATTTACAACATCCTCACAAGCTTGAAAAGTAGGCAATATTGAGGTTGTTATCTTTACATGCAGTACAGTTTTATTCATAAACGCACCAGTCATCTGTTCTGACAAGCCAGAGATGTTCAGTTTTAAGCTAACCATCTAGCTTATTTAGTTGATTACATTCAGCTCTGAACTCAATATTTTGTTTTGAGTAGTTATTTTAGATGTAGAGAAAATACTTTACATCAAAAATGTCTAGTTTGTAAATTAAATATTTCTCCACACGCTGTCTTGCTAAATAAATAATTAGTTTAAAGTTTAAACTGAAGGCAAAATATTTAGCTTCTGTTTTAGCTTGCTATCTAAATAGTTTGAAACTGTGACATTTGTAAGTCAATAAATGACATGGTAAAAAAGTGAATCATGTTTTTTTCCCCCTCATATGACAAACCAAAATTATTGATGTTAAATTTTGACTGTATCTTTTCAAACGGCACGGACGTTTCAAATCCAGAGACAAGGTGTTTCTAAACAGAAAATGTTACCGTTTGTGTGAATTGGGATGCAGTTCCTACAAAATGAACTGGTTCTTTAATCTACAACAAAAGAAACAAAAAAAAACAAAAGAAAGAAAATATTTCAACCTGAAATCAGATTTGTGTTACTGGCATAAACCTTTGCATGAGATTGATTTTGCAGTCCCTTGACCTGGAGCGAAAAGCCTTTTCTATTTGGTGAATTATGATTATGAGTCCCCAGGAGAAAAATGCAGAACATCTCAGCCCTGTACTAAGAAACCTCAATTTGAGGATGGAAATCTTGGTCAATATTTGGTGAACCACATAGACCAAATCCATGTTTGCGTTTGTTTTTTCTCTTTTTCTTCTTCTGTCTCCTTTCTGTGCAGTCAGTAAACGTCTTGTTACAATTTTAGACGTCTGTCAGAATCGGGCTTCTTCGCCTTCTTTTAACAACACATCAAACACAGACCTCATGCATTTATATTTAATTTTAAAAAAGAAAAAGAAAACCCACTTTCTTGGCATGATGTGAAAAGTGCAATTTCCAAACAAAATAATTGCTGCAACAAATAATTGTCATGAGGATATCATCAAACAAGCAACACATTCGTTCCAGTCTGCAGTTGTTGGTGCGTCGCCGGACAGCGGGAGGCGTCGCACTCTGTAATTGGTGTCTAACATGGCAGTGAAGTGCTGAAAAATTGGCGCGGACCACACTGACAATAGTTCAATCAAACGGCAGCAATTTCATACTGTTTTTATGTTCGAAGAACGGATGAATCATAAAAGCCTCCCAGCCATATTCGCAACAATAAAAGTCGCAGGCGAGTCAGGAGTGTTACGTTTTATTTGGTCGTTTCTTCTCTCTTTTTTTCAGCTTTTTGTTCCTCTCCACAGGTTAAAACCCATTATAATAGTCATAAGAAATAAAAACACTTTCACATACTGCATACAGAAATAATACTCTCGACACACAGTAAAAACAGTTGATTCAGGCCCAGCCCAGTGCGAGATTTCACAAAAAAAACAAAAGAAAATTGAGGACTTCTGAAAAAGGATGAAGGCCCGCGAAGTCTTTAACTCGCTTGAGCAGAGATGGTCAAACAGTTACAACAGTAGGCACGTACGTACGTACGGACATACAGGCAGAAGGAGAGTTGAAGCATGTTTGTGGTCCCCCCCCAAAAAAAGAAAAGAGGAGTTGGGGAAAAAAAAAAAAAAGAAGCTATTGAACATAAAATTGGAAGTTTGGGTGCCCCAAAGAAACATTAGGCTGAAATTTCCACATACTTTTACCGAAATAGCTCAACTTTTAATCCTCAAAAGGCAAAGAAACTCTTTGACTGCACCCTGTAGAGAAAATATTTTACATTAAAAATGAAGGAATAGAGGCATCCAAACGCATGCCTCGTCAAGAGTCCAGTGAAAACCTAAAACAAGCATCTATCATCTTAAAGTAGACTGTGTCAACGGCCACCTTGAAAGAGTCTCTATCCAGTGTTTAAGAAGGTGGCCAGTCATAAATATCCTTTTTGACTGCCGTATAGAAAAAACATGAGCAGGGAAGTTAAAAAAAAAACCTTTAGAGGTCGAGTGTGAAACATCTGACTAGTGAGTCACAGGAATTTGTTCCAACCAAAACCTTGCGAATTGCATCTGTGGATCATTGGGAGTTCAGCTCTAATGAACACCTGAAAGAGACCACCCACTGCTAAATACTCTCAGGCTTCTGTTAATTACATTTAAATGCCTTACATAATAATAATTGGGATAATTTGCCAGTAGATAAAACAAGTTGGCGCTCAGAGGAAAAGTGGTTGCAAACTTCCTGGCTTCCCCTTGCAGTGTTGTGATGTAGCACTCGTCTGCTTAGAGATTTCCACTGTGTTTGCTGGCCACACTCGAAATGGAATTATTGAAAGCCTCAAAGTGATTTGAACACCGAAGATAACCTGAGTGCAAGCAAAAATGCTTTGTGAAGGGAGGATAAAGAGGAAAAAAGAAGCTATCAAGTCCAACATGCGGGAAAAATCAAATATTTCTTAAATCGGGAAAGTAGTTGTTCTGTCTTTAGCAGCAACTACCATCAACAGGATGTCAGCCTCAATACTTTTTTTTAAAAGGTCTTAAATTTCGTATTTTTTTTTTATTTTCTTGTGGGACTTTTCTGTCAGGCTAAAGTTTGAGTTACAAGAGACATCTTCATTGAGGCAGTTGAAGCTACCACTAACTAGCTGATAGCTTCACAGCCAGCCAGCCATCCATCATGGGTAAAGTGCAAATTTACTGGTGATTTGTCATCTTTTGTACAGCTCTTCAGGTCTTAAGTTTAATTCAGAATGGTCTTAAAAAGTCTTACATTTGAGTTGGTGACGCCCTGATCAAGCTTTTTGGGATAACTGTCAGTTTTTTGTAGAGACATTCTGTCTTTGCAGAATGCTTGCAATTCAGCCACACTGGCAGGATTTACAGGAGATAATTATTTCATACAGTCTTTGCAGCTGAGTGAGCTGAGGTTTTTGAATTACACATTACGATTAGTATTTCAAACCAAACCAACCGAAAAGGGAGGAAATACTTTTTTACAGTCCTTTCAAAGATTGATAGACATTTCTTACGATAAACACTGTATTGGTTTATCAAATGAACAAGAAAAAGGCCGAAAAGATCATCTATCTGTAGGAGGAAACGGTAATAAATAATATAGCACCTCCATATCTAAGGGCCGATCAGTTTATTCAGTCAAATTGATTTGCAGCAGGCCCGTACCGTACACCAACCCCCCCCCCCAAAATGTACAAACTGAATGAATAGCTTTGGCTAGAGAGGAAGATGACAAAGGTAATTGAGTGTCAGTAACTAGACGGAGCAATAATCACGAACAAGCGGCTGCCGCATGCTGTTGAGTTCAATGAGGGAAGCGTGTTTGAGCCCTGGACTTGATAACCTCGCTGAAATCTGTGTTTATTTTCCAGACAGTTGTCTGCAGGAGCCGGCGCTGTGCTCTTGGAAACCAATCGGCCTTTCTTTCGCGGCTCCTATTCATTTCGTTTTCATTGTTATTGGAAGAGAAGGGGAAAGCAGATTGTGACCTTGGGTGCCTGCGCCGAAAGAATTAGAAATGATATTCACAGTTTTTTGGGAGGACGAGCATTAAGCTTCTGCACCTGCTGGCGAACGCTCACAGGCGTGGACTTTTGTCCGCGTCCCCCACTGGAGTTCGGCCGTCGCTGAACGGTCAGCGAAAGGTCAGCGAAAGGTCAGATTTAATCATTTGGTGCCAGTCTAATGGGGCCAAACAAAGGTCCAGGCAGGTGTTTCACTTTCATAAACGCTAAATAATGTTTCTGGCTTAGACAGGAAGCTGAGAAGCAATTGTAGCAAGCCAGAAAACCATACGTTTGGAACATCCACCTAATCGACCGCAAGCAAACAAAAACTGAAAGTGATAAATAGAGAGCCACATACAGTAGTACTCTAGGAGTTAAATAATAACTAGCTTGCCAAAGTAAAAACTGAATTGAAGCAATTTAAATCTAGTCTTACAGAAATGCTTCTAATTTTCCCTGGAGAAATGCAACTGTTGGGGAAAAAATAAGAACATTTTAAGTCAAAGTGCAGAAATCTGCCATGTTTAAGGGCACACTGTTCTTCCTCTTCAGAAATTCAAATGATCGATTTTATTTTCCCTACCTGACAAAGGTTTGTTGTTTTTTTTCTTTTTTTGTTGTTCCACAGCTTGGTTAGTTTACCCCGAAGGCTTTGAAGTAATATATTTCCTACCTCCATCACCATCCCGCCATGCTGTTGCAGTTGCATATAGCATATTGATTTATGTTATTTACCCTGTCTATTTTATTTTATTTTTTTCTTGACAGACAGAGAAGTGAATTGGATTGTGTCTGCATGGTTTTCAGAAACTGGAAGATGGGAACACACAAACTAGCTCCCAACACAGACAGATTCATAATTCAGATTCACCTAGGAAAAACAAAAGCAAGAAAAAGAAGAATTACACAGTTGGAGCGTATTAATAAATCTAAGTAGATTTGGTAATGACATTGCTTGCTTTTTTATTATTATTATTATTTTAGTCCTCACGTAGCAGCTAGCTGAAATTGCTAAGTTGATCAAGCTAGGCAACAAAATAATTGTTTAGTAAACTTTTTGCATTTATTATGTTGACACAGTTCAGCGGCTTATGTTTTCAATAAAGCTTAACTTTATGACTACGTCAAAAGTAGTGAAGCCTCATTTATCATTTTTAGTTTTTCTTATGTATGCAAATCTAGAAAGAAGCACAAACCTCAATTTAAATTGTGACGTATAGCGCCCATCAAAAAATATCGCTGGAATTGGACACAGTGGGAAGTTATGCATAAATCAAACAAAATTTTGTGATAATACTATATTAATAATAAAGAGCAAATAGCTACTTCTAGACCAATCACACATTGGTTGAGTGTTATTGTACCAAAAAACTAAGACTTGTTATTTTATATTAAGGGAAATACTTCAATGACACGCGACAAACAAATCAAACAGCCTCAGTATAAAGAAAAATGTTCCTTTTAGAAGCCTTCAGCTGAAATCCACTAATCAGTTCAGTCTTGACACACTTCAACAAAAAGTCTCCAATTAGTGTTAATGCTGAGAGAAGAGCTAACCAATTGATGCTACACTCTCCCATTATCAGCTGTAGACCAAAATCAATGCATTGTACATTGGCTCCAACACCCAAACAGGGCATGTTCCTGAAATGCAATTCAGTGTTTCCAAATGGAATTAAAATGCTAATTGTAACATAATAACTTTACCAGCTAACTCAATGTCTAAAAGTAAACGGGGAAAAATAAGCATGAATGTAAGCATGACTTTTAACAGATCCAATAAACTAACTTTGGATAAAATTAACCAAGCTTTCATTTTGTAACAGTCAATTGCAACATTACTGTGAGTACTCTGAAAGGGGTCAGTGCTTTCTCTACTGATTTTCGTCAGGCGACACGCTGGCCATCTTTGCATTTCGTTATTACTGTAAATGGTCCGGGCATGTCTTTAAATGAAGTTTGTCAAATAGGGCCGGAGGGACTTGACTACCTGTCAGCTGCACTCAGGACAGTGACTTGTGGTGACGGACTGCCTGCTGCCTACACGCGCAGAGACTCATCAGGACTTTCTTGTCAAAGTGTAGGTTGTCAGCTCAGGGGCGACGAATGGCAGCTACGCTTCTTAAATCTGACAGCCAAAACCAAGAATCAGACATCCCTGTCAAAGACATCCCGAATAAAATGTGTCAAGCCTTTTTCTCACAGCTAGCAAATTAGAAAACCAAGTTCAGGGAAAGTGAGTACGGGGAGTATTTTTGTGTGTGTGTGCAAAAGCAAGCGCTTATTCATTCTGGGTCAATCCGCAACAGAAGTGATTACCAGAAGGAAAAACATTCCCCCCTCTGACTGCAGGTAGGAAAGTAATCATCTGTGAGAAGCACAAGAGACTTCTTTTATTTCGAGTCATATTTTAGGGTCCTCAATTATTAAATAGAAAATGACAAGAAATGTTTTCCAAAACCAAATCTCTGAAGGAAAATTCAAATCTAGCCTAGGCAGGTTGCTGAATGGCAGCTGGAAGGGGATACTTCACACAGGAAAACTTGTGACTGAAGCAATTTCCCCAAACATTTCAATCATCTCAGACTCCTCGATGCATTTTTGATCAATGAAAACAGCAGCCGCCCAAAAGTAATGACTATCATAAGAGAGCACCTGCTTTAGCGTGTTGACATACTGAGGCGAGGCATTAAGTGTTCACTTGCAATCAAAGTTCCAAGTCTTTATATTTTGGTTGCTTGGTTCATTTTGACTATTCATTTTTCTCTAGTCAGTAAAACAAAACATGTCTGTTTTGTGAGTTGGTTGCTGTTTTAGATCTTTGTTTTGGTCAATTCATGACTGACTTTTCTGGGATTTCAATTCATACCTTCTTTAACTTAAATCTGAAACTGCTGCTGCACAACTTATTTGGCGGGTTGTATGACCGGTTGAATAACTCACTCACTTTCTGGTTAAAGAATGAGTGAATCGATGGCGCCCAATGTTCTTAGCTGACCGTGAGAGGTTGCTTACAACCTCTGCCTACATCCCCCTAAATGCTGTTTGGTTCTGGATGGGAGTTTAGTAAAATTATTAAAATGCTATTAGACGTTTTTTCGATTGATATTGAACACGTGCCTGCTTCGATATCATTATTGATTTATTGTCCAACCGTTTCTGCTCATAGTCCAATGCAAGGAAATTCCTAGACTCATCTAATTGATTTCTCTACCAACCTCCTTTAGAAACTTGTGTATTATTGACCCTCTTCCACTACTACCTACTCGGTGTGGCTCGACTTGGCTCCGCTCAGTTTGAGTCGTTCTCCACTTTTACTCCACCCAGCTTTGTGTGGGTGGAGTAAAAGGCAATCACAGAGTCTGAAAAATACCCCAACCTGATCTGTTTATGACGCAAGCGCAAAATATCTCCACCTCATCCTTAGACCACATTGTTGATTTCAGAGTTGCCATTGTCCTTAATGCTCCAAATACGTTCACTGGGTTTTTTGGAATCGTAGGTCTGATTCTCCTCAGGGTGTTGCTCTCATAATGCCTCTAGTGACCAACACCATTTTAACGTTGTGTTGGTCATAGCTGATATCAGGGGAAAACACTTGGAACTGAGTCGAGACAAAAGGACATCCAAGAGGAACACATTGCCAAGTGGAGTGTTAATGCATAGCACTGAAACCTCCAAAATATTGTGACTGCGATATTGCACATATTAATGTGCAATATCAGTTAATGAAATGTACATTGTCTCTGTGAAATAAAATAAATAAAAAAAAATATATGCTGTGTTTTGCAGCTCGAGATGAACTAGGAAATCGTGGGTACAAAATAATTAGGAACCATTTGTCATGATGATCTTTTCTTTCAGCAGCCATTATGGGATACTGTTTTGTGGTTTCAGACTTTTCATTCTAGGGATAATTGTCTTTTCTTAACTGGCAGCCATTTAGCAAATCTTGTGGCCATTTGAAACAGCTTCAAAACTTTTAGAGCTAGGAAGCCGTGGGACGGCACATTACTTGAAATCCCCTAAAATGATTTGGACCAGAACAAAATGTGTCAAAAAGAAAACAATTGCTCCACAGTTAATAGACTCTGCCCTAGAACAAATGCCACTTTATTTTTCCCCTCTCCCGCCCTGCGGCACTTCATGGGTGTTACAGAACTGAATGCTCCCCCGATGCCAGGACTATTCATGAGAAAATGCCCCAAAAACTAAGTTGGTGAGAAGTCAACGGAGAAGTGAAGAACGGCCAGGTAAACAAGATGTGAGGAGGGAAGGCTGCAGAAGCAGAAACACCCTCAGCAACGAAGGTGATAAAGAAACGGTGCAGTCAGCAGCTGTAGCCGCTGGCACAGAACTACAAAAAGAAACGGAAAGGGAGGAGACCTCAGCTCACACAGGCTCTGAAACTTCACACATTCAAAAAAAGAAAACAGGACACAACATGCGTCTGGATGTGAGCCGACACAGGAAGCAAACCCACTTCTGGGCCAAAGCACGGCATCGCCAGGTCTAATTAATTACCCAAATATCTGATTACTTTGTTAGCGATATGTTACCCCCGCCCTCATCAGGAGGCTCAGTCAGAGGTATCTCAGGGGTACACAAGAGAAAATTATACATAAATCTAACTCAGTTTGGTAATGACTTTACATTATTTAAATAAAATAAACTGTTTTAAAGCAAGAATTAGCCCTGGTAGTTTGCTGACATTGCTATTACTATGTCTCATGCTAGCTAACAAAATAATTCATTAGTTATATATTTAAATCCAGTTAAGCTACTCATTTGTCTGAAATAAAGCTTTAATTTACAACTTTTACCATTTCGGCCTGGTTCTTTTTTTTTCTCCATTTTTCTTATTTGTGTTCAAATCCCATCTAAATGAGCGAGTTCAGCAACTAGCGAGAAAAAAAAATTTGACTAGTACTAGATATTAAGGGGAAGGAACAGGAAAAATACTTCCAATTAAACTGGTGATTTTAATTGAGCTTTTCCATGACTGTGTTCCGGTGACAGAATCTTTCTCATATTTCAAATTATTTTCAGCTAATAGGAAGACTGTCGGCTATAAACCAGTAGTCTGTTTCAGGTGCTCACTTGCAAAACAATCATGTAACAAAGAGGTCATTATGAAATAAGCAAATCATAGAGGCTGGTATGAATCGTCCCTCTGATATTCAACACTCCTGAGGATGAGATGTCTTCACGGCAGCAGGAAGTTCAGCTCCAGGTGCAAACTAACATTTCCCACAGCAGTTTCACAGAAATCCTGTGAAGAGTGTGTGAGCAATAAGATGATCCCGGTGTCAACAGGAAGCAACGTTGGTTGGAATGATTTGGAATACGTGAAAAGCCTACAAAACCTTCATCTGGAATGCAAATTGGATGCAAGACTTTGATGAGAACGATTGGTAACAACAGGAAACAGACCTAAAGCGTGAAGCCAACCAAAAACAGCCAGACAGGCTTGGATCAAATGTAGCAAAAATCAACCAATTTGACTGTGTAACTTGGCCTAAACGTCTCAGCTAGTTGCCTGGCAACTCCATGGTGGCACATGTAGAGGAGCGAGCTGCAGATAGCAGGATGTTGAAATGTCTTGAGAAGACCAAACTAGGAAACACAATAGGGTGATTTACAGTTAGGACTGTATGAAAAAATTTAAATGAATTTGAAATGTTGGTGAGGTAATAATCAGTTCAGAATAAGCAAGGATCCTCCTAAAGCTTACATTTCTTTAATTGAGGTTCTATGAAGTTATTATTTAATGTTTAAAGATGCCATTTTGCAACTTTGTAAGATAGTTAAAAACAAATCATTAAGTTATGTTAGCTTGTGGAGAAATGTTAGCCTTCTGTAAGCAGTGACAGGATAACGCTACAAAAAATAATTTTTACTATTCTCAAAATCAGAATCGTAAAAAAGTCATTTCAGAATTTCAGTCAATTCTAACCAATATCTGAATTGAGTTTTTTTATTTGAATAAATCTCACAACTCTGACTTTTGCAGAACTGATTCAAATCTCAGAACTTTGATTTTTTTTTTTTCTTAAAATGTGAAATTTTTTTCAAATCAAAAATTGGAATAATGTAAACTCAAAATTCTGGCCTTGAACTCAGATTTTTCACTCAAATCTCAGAATTCTGACTTTTTTCTTAGAATTCAGAATTTTGACTCTAATCACAAAACCTTCACTCAGAGATCTGTTCTGTTTTTTTCCCTTAAAGAAGCAGCAGCAGAGAGAATTTCACAACGTATCAAAATTAAATCTGTTTTTTTTCTCTACAAAATGCCAGAATAAGTCATGTAGTTGCTTTACAGTGACAAAAAAAAGTGAATTAAAATCTAAAACCCTTGGCAGGAGCTGAGCTGTCTTAATTGGGAAATCTTCCTGAGAGCTGCATCCAGAACATCTTTAAACTGAGAACTCCACCAGCATAAAGTTCTCTGAACCAGATTCAGATTCTATGAAAACTGTTCTTTAAATAAAGCCTTCCAGCATTTAGCGAATTCTACGGAGAATATCATATAACTCCCATAATAATAAAATGTATTTGTGTTCCCACCAACGCTCTGAGCGCTGTTCTGCATGTGAATCCCTGCTGCCTCCGCCCGGCGCAGCGCGGAGCCCAAAACCGCTTATTTGTAAGCACCTTTTGTCCGAGCGCTGGGCGGCATTCTTTGGCAGGAGAAAGGAGGGGTGGGGGGGGCGGAGGGCTCCCCGTCCCGCTTCCTGTGCCGCCGCGTTGCCTGCCAGCCCAGTGGATCCATCCAATCCCTGGCATTTCCCGAGGAATGTGACTGGAATGCTTTCTACTTCTGGGGGGTTTGCGGGGGTTGACGCCCGGGTCGCGGTTTTCGTCTTGGATTTCACGAGCGGCCTAGAATATCTATCGAGTGGATTCTCCCATAAAGCAACAAAACTATAAAAGAAAAAAGAAGAGGCTTTCTTCCAACAATGAGACACAGATGCACACTCACAAGCATTTGAGTTTTTCTTCCTTTTTTTTTTTTCCTTTTCTTACACGATCTGGAAATTTAGGTCAAATCTTGTTTAACGCACCGGCTAAACGGTTCAGGGGAACCTTTAAGAGATATATATATATATTAAAAACACTTCACAAAATAAGGCACTCCAATTTTCTTTCATTGTCCTGACTGATTTCAGTCTGTAAGATGAAGCTGTAATAAAAAAAAAATTTAAAAAATGGCCTGATCCACCTCTGCATTGTCACAATGCTTCAAAGCAGCGGGGAGAGATGAAAGCAGCTGATGGGAGCAGGATGACAGAAGATCAAGATGAGGCTGCTGATCTGGATTCTGCTCCTTCAAAGGGACAGCAGTAACACAGACGAGACGCAGGGAAAAAATAAAAAAGGAAAATGAAATTGGCACCAGCCGTTGGTTCACAGGCAGATATCCCACAATCCATTGTATCACTTTTTCCCCTGACTTTCTGCTCTCCAAAGCACCAGGCTGGGGTAGAAAGAAGAACTACAATGCCTGCAGCTTCCTACCCTCCGTGGGATTTTAATTTGAAAGGTTCCAAGTTCTCATCCCAACAAAAAAAATAATAAAAAAAACAGTAGTGAAAATGGTCCTGGACTGAATTGCATTGGCACCTGATTGAAGTTGTCCCGCAACCACCACCTTCTTCAAATTAAACAAAATTGGTGTCAAACGTTTGTGCACCAAAATCTTCATTTGTGGTGGCATCATTTTAAAGATATTACTAAATGTTTCCAGAGACCAACAAAGTCAACCAGCTATTCCACATTTACAAAATCAAACATATGATTTCAATCAACTGGGTTCCATTTGTGCGGCATTAATTTTTGTTTGTGCCGCTGATTTTCAAGATTTTTATGTCACCAGATGTCTCCCACCAAATTAACGCCAAATGTTTCCAGATACTTTTTGACAGCATCAAAAGGATGATATTCGGCAACTTAAAGAAAACATACTTAAAAATTATAGCGGCACTAACAAAAATTTGTGCTGCATGAACGAGCACAAATAGTTTGAGACACCGTATTTTGTTTGATTTTGTAAATGTGGAATGGCTGATAGACCTTTGATAACCTCCAAAAACATTAATTATCATGAATTAAAATTTGAGAAACACAAACGTAGCACAAATGCTTGACACCAATTACAGTCAATTTGAAGAAGCTGGGGGCGGGGTGATCAACCTCACTCAGGTATTGCTGGGATAAAGTCTGCATTCCATATAATCCACGACTGGGAATGAGATTTGGATTCAGAAACGATCGTCTCTGAGTTGCGTTGGCGACTTGAAGGGCTTGAGCCCCAGCGTCCTGCGGGGGAGGGCTCTCTCTTTGGTCACGTCCAGAGGCTTGCCGCAGGCTGCCCAGCCCAGGTCCATGAAGGGCGGGTCCGCCGGGTTGATGGGTGCGATGCGGAACGAGGGCAGCGTGGGCGAGCCGTTGGCGGAGCACGGGGCAGATCGGGAGGTCGGGAACGGAGTGGAGAACGGGTCGAAGGGTGGCGCACCGTCGGAGCTGCTGGAAGGGTCTGCCTTGAGGGCAAAGGGGTCGCAGTCTGGAGAGGGGAAAGGGTCGCAACTGGTGAAGGGATTGGTGGGCGAGGGCTGGTAGCCCAGGGCGTGGCTGTCTGAGCGGATGGGGCTGCGGCCACCTGCTGAGATGGTGCCACCTGCTGAGATGAAGCTCCAAGGGTCAATGCGGGGCCGGATGGGAGACGGGCGTGGCCGGGGGATGACGCTGACCTCAAGACGTCGGGTTTTGGGGCTCCATAGCGCCGGATTGGGGTGGAGGGCATAGGGTACGGAGGTCTTGTCCTCAAAGTCCAGTGTGTCTTGGCATAGTGGGAGATCTAAAACTGGGACAAAACAACAAACCAGTGTTATGCTTCAATAGAATCCTAAATAAAATAAAAACACTTTTCACTCTCGTTAAGTGTGGAACATTAACATGAAAATTATACGACGTCAAAAATGCTTTGCTAGCAAATATATATATATATACATATATATATATATATATATATATATATATATATATATATATATATATATATATATATATTGCTATTAACACATTAGTAGAGGTTTTTACTCTGATAGCCTTCTGTAATAGAATGATGTCATATTGCTGAAAGCAAGTGAATTCAGTTCCAGGTCCTGTTCGGTCAATTCCTCAGGTTTGTCAGTGAACAAATATCCTCCACACCAAGCAAAAAGTCTCTTTAACCGGATCTAATGGTTGAAGTAATCTACTCAAGCCTCTCTCATCTGATTTAGTCTGTTGAAAAATCCTTCTGAACACAAACCTGTGCTGTGAAATTGATCAAAAACAACAAGATGAAAGCACCACTATACAGCAACACAAAAAAAGAAAAGAAAAAAATGGAGCAATTACAAGTGAGGAATGTTGATGTAATTAGTCTCAATTAAGTGTAACATAGTGCTGTTTAACTAGTTGACAGAGCTGCAAGAGCAGCAGACAAAGCGTAAATTGGCGCTGACAAGAACATTAAACTCAGAATAAATCACCCTGAGTGAACATTTGCTGTTTCCAAATGTGAGGCGTCTGCCAAATGGCATTATTTACATCAACAGTTACCCTCAAAGGCTGCTGAGCTTTTCAGCTGACAAGAGCGAGCAATCAGGAGCCACACAAGAGGAGCAGAATATTAAAAACAAGAAAGTGAGAAAAATCCTCTGAATAAACATCTCTCTTTCAAGCGCACGCTGCCAGGCAAACCATGTGGCAGTCTGTCGCCTGCGTCATTCCAGTCAACAAGCATATCAGGGTTGTTTAGCTAAAACACACTTGGTTAATGATGTGTGATGTTTTTTTTTTTCTTGTCATGTAATTCAGGGTTTTCCCTAATTCAAATTCAAGACTGTTTAAGGCCATCGTGAAGGGAATTTAAACCCTTCAACTGTAATGTACGAACTTCGACCAGCCAACTGGTGATAAACTTGTACTCCAGAATCAGCAGCTGCCACAGCAGTGGCATGCCAGCCTCAACCGTCTCCACATACACACAAGGAAGAAGTCTGGGTGCCACTAAACAGAAAAGTCCCACAAGAAAAAATCCCATAGAGTATACAAGATTAAATAGTTCTTCCTGTCAAAACAAAATTTTAAAACTGTCACCATATATTAAAGGTAAACTCACCTTTTACAATAAATGTAAGAGTTTCAGGCCTAACATCGAGATACATTCATTGAAGACTTTCTGAGGATCTGAAGGTGCCATGTAAGGTGTGTATATGTTTTTGTGATATTTAGTTCCAGCAACCCAAAAATTTGGAGAACATTCGAACCTGTTTTCAACACAAGGGTGTTACCACCGGTGGGGCGTCAAAATTGGATCGTTTGCATTACTGCAGCACAAATTGAAATGGGTGTAAAGAAAATCGATGCAACTGCCTGAAATATTACATCATGCACATTTTCTTTTAGCTTTCATAGTGTATTTCATGTGTTTTCATCACAAAAGATAACTCTGCAAATCTGCATGATTTTGCAATTATCTCCCTTTATAAAATAAAATCTGGTCAAGTGGAATCTACTAAAATGTCAGTGCAAATCCAGATGTTCTCAGAAGGCCTCGTGGATTTGACTGATTCCAGTTTTGGCTGATACCAATTTTTAATTTTTTTGTCAAAAAAATAGGAAGGAACTTCACAATACTTATAGTCAGAATCTGAATACAAATGCATGCTGCACTTTTCATATTTTTAACTGAAAAAAAACAACAAAAAAAACCATGAGAACTATTCATTATGTTCCTCCTACTCCACAGTCATAAACTACTTTGTGTCTGTCTAAAACTCGGAGACAAAACGGCGAGGAATGTGGCACAAAACGCACGCAGCAACGTTATCAAATGCATAATGTGAAGACTGTTACTGAAAGTCGCAGCGGTTTCACACAAACCCGGCCAGCTTTCCAGCAGACAGACTGCAGATTAGCAGTCTGGAATCTGCTACAGTTCCATCCAATGTGCTGCACTCATCCTGCGCTATTCAATGAAAGAAAACTCCAATCTCAGAAGAGCAACAGCATTTAAAAAAAAAAAAACCTGGTTGATAGCTCTGCTTTGCCAGTATTAGCAGTAAAGTACAGAGAGGGCCAGCTGTTACCTGAGATATGCAAATGGCTGCAGAGAAGCTTTGATGCTAATGAAAAAGCTCCTGCAGCAACGAAGTATCCCCTGTGCTGCTAAATGGAAACAAAAATTCTCACTTAAAACAAAGACAATGATAAATCCATGTGTGTGTGTGTGTGTGAGGAGGAGGAGGAGGGGGGGACATTGTTATGCTGCGGTGGTACGGGACTCAAGGTTAAAGCCGGATTGGGATTTGCGTGCGCGGCCGTGTGGAACGAACTCTGTTAGGGGTTGCAGATGAATCACGGAGCTAAATTAAAAACCCGAACCCGAAACCCAATCTGGGCGAAGAGCAGGTACTTAAAGGAAGTACTCGGCTGATTTAAAATGGCACTTCCAATAAGAAGAGAGCTGGAGAAGACAAATTACAAAACAAAACAAAAAACACTAGTGAGAATTAAAACAGCAGAGGTAGAATCTTATTATTATTAGATCAAGCTCAGGAGGCTTTCTGGATCTTCAGCAATGGATCTTAATAACTGCCTTAAAATGATTAGGACTCAACTAATGTTTCAAATGTAAAATTAATAAATGCTGCTTTTAACAGTTTTTTATGTAATAACTTGATTTTCCGCAGCAGAAATACAAGTGATAGTGTTTAGGATCTACGTTTTTGTCATTAAATAGGAAATCATCTTCGTTTCTAGTTTCTTCAAAAGTTATTTCAAAACCTAAAAACAGAAAAAAAAATCTTAAAGTTGATATAAATATTTACACAAAGTTTAGAGTTTTTTTGTTTATTTTTTTTTTTACAAGATAAAGGTTTTTAAATATTTTTTTAAGTGGCTGGGCCAGACTGTAAAAATGGCTTACAGGGGCAGTAGCCCAGAGCGCCAAAGTTTTGGTGGCTCCAGAGATTTATTTTTTAAATTTATATTTACAAATGCATGTGTTACAAAAATTGTAGTTTACATAAATCTAACCAACCCATATCAAATGAGGTGTTTTAATAACATACATTTTGAGTATAAATGACATGAGTAATTAAATATTTGATTCTAAATTCTTTTCAGGATTACTGTAATATGTAAAGTTGACAACTTGCACCAACTGATGTGTTTTCATTTATGAGTAAAATACATAGAGCACCAAAATTAGCCTCTATCCTTCTAAATCTGGCCGTGAGCGCAAGGCATTCTGGGTAAATAAAACCAAAACAAACACCTGTTCGAATGGAGTCTATCGGACTATCAGGTGTGATATTATTTATGTGGATAAAGGTGTAACAATAGCAAAGCCATAACAACAGCAGACCCCCGGTCTAGGAAGTGAACCCACTGACCCAGCTGGGAGGCATGCAGGCCGTAGCTGGACCTCCTCCTGCGGTCGGGTCGGTGCTCCCAAGCCTCGCTGCCCAGCTCTCCGTTGCTAGAACCAGAACTAGTGGTCCAGTCCGCCGGGACGGCGCCGTCCTGCTGCTGCAGTAGGGTCCCCGGACTCGGCGGGCCGCTGTGGTGCGTCTGCGGCGTTCGGGGACCGGACCTTTCGCGAGGGTTGGGCGGTGGCGGCGTCAGGGGCAACGGCTTTAGCTCCTGGTACTGCAGGGCTAAATCCAGCAGAGGCTTGGGGAGCGGCTCAGAGGTGGAGAAGGTGATGAGGTCGTCCACCACAGGGGGGTCGGTTATGAGTGGCCTGGGAGAGGAGATCTCCAGCTCGAAGGAGGAGCGTTCCTCCGAGGCAGGGGGGTTAGTTCGAGGGGGAACCCTGGGGGGAACATCCAAGCCCCGACCCAGCGCCACGGAGGACAAGAGGGAGCCACAGCCTAGCAATGCCCGGTGCGTATTCTTGACGGCGCCGCCAAGGAACCCCCTCTCTGGCATGGGGGAGCCTGCTGGGGAGTAGCCCCCCTCCTCGCTGCCAGAGTCTCCCTGGGAGGGGGGGAGGCGGAGGCTGTCCTTCGACGAGGAGCCTGTAGAGAGAGAGAGAAAGTAGGAAAGGGATGAGAGACAGAGAATAATGACTCCACGCATTTATAATTCATTCAGCTTCTGTTTCTAATTCACACTGCCAGACTTGGTTGAGTCTTAAATGGGCAGTATTATTAGTTTCCAGGCACCTAGGGCCATTTTAGCACAGTGAAGTTACTATATTAATTGTAGTGGTTAAAAACCTAAATACGAGTTAAAGTTTTAGTTTGTAACTTAACGTCTTGAAATTGGGACTCTGTCACTTTAATTCTTTCTGCTCTTTCTGAAACTCCGCCTTTGGAAAGTCATGACAACATGGCTCCTCGACTAAACCTTTAACAACATTTTTACCAGCGTTGCACTGAGCAGTTGCTCCTACAGTGAACTCAGCTCCACCAGGCGCTTGCTAATTGGTGGCTAGTCTGAAGGAACTGAGTTGGAGAGGAGCTGTGTTCACTCACTGCACAGCTCAATGGTTGCCATAGAGATTAAATGATTTCTCAAACATGCACAAAAGAATCAAAGCAACACTCCCAAGTATGTTTTCGATGATGGAATAACAACAAGACGTAAAGCTTAAAAAAGTTTATGTCACATAGTGCTGCCCAGATGGCGGCGTTACCGTTCTGAGTGGAGGCTGAGGTCGGCGTGGGAGGGCGGTACTCCTCAAAGTCGTCCATGGCGTCTCCATTCTCGTTGCTGTCCGACTCCAGCAGCTTGGCCCTCATCGATAAACTGGAAGCAGTCAGTCAAGCAGAATATCTTAGAACGCCTAATATCAGCATCAGTCGCAACATTGGGAAAAAAAAAATTGAAACGATGTGCTTGATCCATAAAGGTAGACTCTGTTCAGTCTAATTCTAAGTGTTGTTCTCTACACAACATCATGCTTTATTATTCATTATATTTAGAATTCCTAATTGCATTTTCTGAACCATTGAAAGATGTTTTGTTGCAGTTTATTTTTGCATGTTTGACAACCCATTGTTTTTGTCTATTTCAGTTTTTGTATTATTTTACATTAGGTGTTATTCTCCTAACTGCAGTGACTGAATAAGTTGAGGTTGTGTTTACATGTTTGACCAAGCTTCTGAAGCTGTTGGTGTATTTAGGTGTGCTGTGCAGGTGAATGTATCAGATACATTTGTAATTTAGCACAGTTATGTCTGAAAAAATATTAAATATTTTTTATACATCCAGGATAAATGAAGATAAATTTGGTATCTGTATCGTACCGGGAGTGAAAAAAGTGGCTTGTGCATCCCCAGTTTTAATGTTATTTCTTTATTTCCTTCATTTACAGTTTGAACTCAACATGTCACATGGTGATATAAACAGCAGTTTTGAATGAAAGTTTGTGGTCTGTAATAAGGAAGGCAGGAAGCATTTCTGGTAGCAGTCAGTGATGGAACAAATTAGAAGAGGCCTCTGACTGAAGACCGTCATTTCATCAGGCTGACACACTGACAGCTCAGTTTCCAGGCAGCATCCATTATGATGGATGGAAGAGAAGGTTTGAACTTCCTTCTTCTCTGTCTGTAGTCACAAAGTTTCACTTTCAACTCCATTGTGATTTGTGACAGTTGTCTGCAACAACTGTCACTATTTCACCTTCGATGGTTGCAGTTTAGGGTTGTTGTTGTTTGTTTTGGGTTTTTTTTTTAGCTTTTTGATATCCTAGTTGTAAAAACAATACCTTATGTAACAAAATAAAAACAAACAAATTCCTTCCAGCTGCACAGCATCCAAAACCAGAGGGAATAAAAGTCTGAAAAAACAACAAACCAGAACTAACATAAAGCTATTTCTATATGCAGCCACTGTGAGCAGCGCAGCTCTAAAACTGTTTTATGTTTGTTGAAGTATGTAATATGTGATTTTTTTTTTTTTTGCTGTTGCTTAAATACATATTGTTAAAAAAGAAACGAGCAGACCAAGAGTAGGACATTAGTGGTTTAAAGCGTACCTGCTTTCCTGGGGACTCAGCCGCAGAACCTTTGGGCTTTTGGGACTCTTTGGGCTCTGGGGCCTCCAGTGTGGGTTCAGCCTCAGGTCTCCGTTGGACTGCTTGTGAGACGGGGTCTCTAATGACCGGACCGGGGTCAGACAAAACGCCCTGCTGTCGCTGGGACTGACTGGAGAGGCCAAGAGAGAGACAGAGGACACGAGATCAAATTAACGCACACCGGCCACAGTTTTTCGACATTTTTCTCTCATTTTGCTTTTGTATTTCTGAGGCCGACGGTGACATGCAACCTTCAAACTGATAAGAACCACACATGGTTCACAGGAAAGGGGGCACTGGTGGGACTTCAGCTCTAAGAATAACTGAGATTCCATCTACCAAGCTCAAGTGACACATCTCAGCTCTCCTCACACCAGCAGGTCTGCGCTGCCAGCAGGGTGAACAACAAACAGTAACACAGAGGATGTCTAAACCAGACCGTCTGCAACAACTGTCACTGCGCTAAACGTTTTAAAAGGACAGAGTTATGTATTTTCCAGGAACAAAGTGCCATTTTATAGCACAATAAAGTAACTATTTCACCTTCAGTTGTTATAAAAAATAAATAATAATGATTATGAAAAAAAAACTATTCAAATATGACTAATTGCTGGATGCTAGTCTGAAGGAGCTGAGTGGGAGAGGGGCAGCTCTGTGAGGTGCAAGCTTGGAAATTTTGAAACTGCAACCTAGTGGAGGAGCATCGTCCACGAAGAAGGAGCATAGTCCAACCAGGCGTTTTGTGCCATGGAGATTAAAGGTTTTCTCAAACATGAATGAAAGAATGAAGGCAGCACTACCAGAACGTTACATGATACAGCGCCATAGAGCCTTTTCCAAGAGCTTTTACCCCTGTTGGTCTTTCCGATTTTAGACTAACGGGGGCAATAATGAGCTGGCTTTCTACAGCTTAAAAACACAATAACACATTTTTGATGTTTTCTCTCCAGAAATTTGGCTTATGTGCTGATTAACACAAATGCAGCTCAAAGAGTTTCTCTGTAAAATATGTAGTGTTTAGAGCTGGCCAAGTAAAAACAAAACAAACAAAAAAATCTCCAGATTTTTTTATATCAAATTTGATTTTCAAAATTTTTTTCTGCACTGTTTTTCCTTTAAAACTAAAAAAAAAATTCAGGTCAACTCTGATCTTTTCTCTGTGTTGATGTTTCACATTAAATTCCACATAAATATGTTTAAATTTGTGGTTGCCGTGTGACATTTGAATGAGAGGTATGAATACTTTTGAAATCCACTGCATTTCCTTTTCTTAGTTTTGTAGATACTGATTCTAGCTGCAGTTTCTGCACTTTGTGTGTTGGGCTTTCGACACTTGTCAGTTTGTTTTTCTTGTTATGTTCACAAAGTGTGAAATAACAATAAATAAAGCAAAACAGGAAATGACAGGCTGGCCTTAATGACATAATCCATTCAAACAACTAACTGAAACAGATCATTTTCTATGCACTTCTTTAAACATTAAAACTTGTTCCATGTGGAGTTTTAAAGCTCAATACAAACCTAAAGAAGCTAAAGCAAACCCTTCCTAATAAGTAGGAAGGGAAAAAAGCATCTCCGAAAACACAAGTTAATATCAATTTACACTATGATGATGTAACAAGTGAGCCAGTTATACCTCCAGGATAAATGAAGTGAGCAGCTGCCACCGTTTGTTCCAAATCCAGCTGTAATGCGCAACATGATTAGCGCCACACAGTTAGGAATCAAGCCAACCTCTGGGAAATCTGCAACAGTCTTCCAGTTCCAGGATGTGGTTTAAGTACAGGAACGCTTCCGGAGGACCGACCTCCGAACCGCGGCGCCACGTAAACAGAGGAGGAGCAGGAACATCGGGCAAATCTTGTTTTCCAAATTTACAGCATGTACCCAGGCAGGGGTAAGTCCGCCTTTTTACAACCCGGGAGAATGACACGCACTTCAAATATTGGAGAAATAACTGTCATAATGGCAACAGTAGAGAATCTTGTTATTGTGACTCCAAAATTCATTTCATTTCAGTAGCAGAAATGAAAAGGCTCAGTAGATAAACTGTGTTACGTTAGAGGCAATCTGGTTGCCTTCCTGACGTGCGCCGATGCATAATTTAGGAAATTGACTCGGATGGTTTTACGTGGCTCCCATCATATTCCATATTTTTATGTGCATTAGAGGTTTTTCCTTTTGTTTTTGAGATTCCACAAATAAAAGGTCAGGAACTCTAACGTCACAGATGGGCTATAGGAGGAGTCTGCAACATGTGGATCTTTAGACCAACCACTGTGATCAAAAATGCAAAAAATAAAAATAAAAATAATAATTGCTTCATAATGTAAAAGTACATCTTTTTAAAAAGTTGTTTTCATTTGATTTATGCAAAGATTTTTCACAAAAATGTTACTGATAGAGTAAGGAATATTTATTTTGATAAAGTAACTTTGATAAAGGACATACTTTACTTCTTTTGGTTTTAAAGCATGTTCTTTTGTGGTGTAACTTCTACATAAAAATGTTCTTTTAGGAAAAAAAATTGCATAAATGTTTGAAAAACAAACAAAAAATTGTTGATTTTTGTCATTTTAATAAAGAAAATTCTTATTATTGATCTTGATAAAATAAGACAATTTGCTTAATGTCACCTTTGTGGCTCCAAACACATTTTGTTCAACTGGACAAAATGGCTCTTGGGGTTTTTACGATTGCTGTCACACTTGAAATAAAAAGTGAAATAACTAATGAAGAGCAAAAATCTTAATCTAATTCTGCCCCAAAACGCACAGAAAATAAATTGAAGCAGAAATACTCACTAGCTTCTAATATGTACCGCTGAGCTCGGCAGCTAAATTACAAATAGAGCTGACACATCAAAAATGTGGGCTGGTTTGAATTTCTTATTATCTCATTTGTCAGATAATGAAACAATGGAACTGATCTGAGCAGAAAAATAAAAGTTCTCCACTAAAATATCCAGAGATGAAAAAAGACACTGCTGGCTTCGAAGAGGAATATGTTCTGAACATATTTTAATGGCCGCCCCGCTCATAGATCAGTCCCTGCTGTTCAAGAGTCATTTAGAAATAAAAAAAATAATAAATCACACCACTTATTAATAATGAAGCAATATGTCTACTAGATGTAAAAAGCACTTTTGCAGGTTATTTTTTTTGTTTTCCAATTTGTGCTGTTATATCAATTCCTTCAACTATTTTGTTATTAAAATTGTCCCTTTTGGAATTGTTAGAAAATACAAAAACATAAACAACATAAAAAGATCCTGGAAAAAAATGGAGCACATGTGTGTCTCCATGTTTCTGCACAGGAAGTGTAGCGGAATGGCTCCCCCTGCTGGATTGTGGCAACTGCAGACAGAAGAAACAAGAGGAGGTCTACAGTTTGGGGGAAGAAAAAAAAGAAGTGCTGAACGGCTCAGAGGAAGTCGGATAATAATCGGACTGGAGCGGACCGTAGAAAAGGGAAAAGGGTGTGTGAGAGAGAGCAGGGAGGATAGAGGGCGAGAGGGAAAGAGGGCAGGGAACCTAGGGGTGGAGTTGGGGGGCCCACAGGGACACAAGGGGAATACAAAAGATGTGTGTTTAAGACAGCATGAATGGAGATGGTGATCACAAATGGAGATATTGCAAAGACGTGGGCAGAAGGAAAATGACCATACTCACGTTGGATTGCACGAAACCGTGGGCCAAAGGACGGCGAGGAGCCCGAACCCAAATCCGGAGAATTCCGCCTCTTTTCCAGGCCTGGGGATGCCTGCACTGTAATTTTATGGATGAAATCTGTGCGCACAGACACAAAAAAGTTTTTTTTTTAATTGATAAAATCACACAAGTAGCTTAATACAATTCATGGTGCTGTTTGAAAGGTTGTAACATTTTTTTTAACCTGCCTGTTTCCTTGAGAATGTCAACAATTTCAGCTGCATTATTTTACACTACTCCTTGAATATTTGGCTTTTCTGCTTTCAAAAACTCATACTTTGTAAAAAATGTTACAATAGTGCATGACAACTCAAAGCATAGATGATCAAATGAAAAAAAAAAAAACTCTCCCAAGAGCCATCTAACCAGTTTACTGGTAAGTAATGGTGGAGCAGCCAATTTTAAAGCTGCAAGGTAGTAAAATATAAGTATTCTGAAGGTAAAAAGTTTGGATTCAAACATGTTAAACATTTAGTCTTTGCATCCAATTTCAGGGCTCCTCTCCTGAGACTGCCAGATTGAGGAAGTTCATCTTTCAAGGTGCTTTATTTGCTCTGACTCATGTTCATCATTATATTCACTGAAACAATTATTCATAAAGAAGATCAGACCTTTTAACAGGAATCCAAGAGTTACTGGAGTGAACTCAAGCGAGTTTTCTGTGGATACCTTCAACATGTAGTACGAAGAGAGAACGAGACAAATATGCAAAACAAGCTACACAAAGCAGTAAAAAATGAAATGATGTTATTCTGTAAAAGAGATGAAATTAGTAACAAAACAAAAGGTCAAGGCAAGATGGCAGACACAGTGTTGGCATAATGCGAAAAATTGATCAGTTCCAGATTATGATCTGGTCACACTGGGCTAAAGAAAATGTTATATAAATTGGGGAAACAAGCTCAAGGGAAATGTGACTTCTGTTTTTGAGATGAGACAATGGAGCATATTTTATAGTTCTGCACGACATATAATGTTGAGAGAATGAGACTGGGACGTAATTTAAGACGGTAAATACCAGCTGGCCGTGCAGAAACATTTGGACTAAGTCTGTAGGTCAAAATGTTGCTCTTTTTTGTTGCAACACCTTACAATTAAATGTATTTCAAACATTTTTGAGAACGCATAAAACTACATACAGCTCCACATATGGTGTTTGAAACTAATTACGTTAAGTCAAACGTGCAAAAGGAACTCAAGCAGAACAAAGGCACAACAACAACTGCCACGGACAGGAAATGAAAAAGCAAAAATAATAAAAGGGTTCAGCGCGATACGGCTCGGAGGAAAACGAAAACACCAACTTTAGTGGAAGGGAAGGTATCTAAAAAGAAAGAGCCAAAGGCATTGACTGGAAGCGCCAAAGTGAGAGGCCAGTATATCTATGGACAGGAAGTGTTGAGGCGTGGTTGGCTCATGCTCCCCTCTCATCAACCCCTACACCCCCACCCACCACCACCACTGCCACCGCCGCATCACCGCCCTGCTGCTGCCGCTGCTGCTGGGAAAAGGGCTGACCACGACACACAAACACACCGACAGGCACACACAGACAGCGCATTTACGCATGCATGCTCGGCCCAAAATACACTCAGACTCGCAATGAAGCACTGGATGGAAACTGCTGCTGGCTGAGTGACTCTGCTGCAGCAGAGGACACATCGGCCGAGACAGTCAGGTGAGAATACTGGAGAAAACAAGAAATTGCAACCAGATTTCCTTCATTTTGGGAAACCGGCGATCGGCCGATACTTAAAAGTGCAATCGATCTTACCCACTGATATTATCAAAGGTTTGACTGATGGACCTGAATGTCTGGGGTTAACAATAGTCACCTAACTGTTGCCAACTCAGCAACTTTCTTGGTACAGTTTGAAATATTTCTAACAAAAATGACGATTGCTTAAAATTGAAATCGGTAGGTCAGGGTTACTTATGGTCGTTGGCCTGAAAATTGCAATCGGTGAACCATGAGATGAGACATGAGATGAGACAATGTGAGATAAGCCTGGTGGGCATCCAGGCTTTACTTGCCCCCATCAGGCTAAACATTGTTTGATCGTTTTAAATAGGGTTGATTTTTTTTCAGAAACAAGAAATAGTGACAGAAAGGATGTACTAAGCTAGGTTTATAGTTGACGCACTGGTCTGGGAACAAAGGGGTGCGCACCCATTCCTGCATCTGCTCGTGCACTTCTGAATTTTTTGTAACTTTTTAACATTTATTAACACAAAAACACGTGGGCTGCTGGTGGACGGCTGTAATGCCCATAGCACCGGGCTTAGCAAGGTTTCTAGAGAAAACTGTTGCTCAAAGTGATCAACTCAATGTCGGGACAGTCACGGTTCTAATCCACATCTCACCAAAATGACGGTTAGACATGCCCGACAAACAAAAGAACCCTGTAGATTTGCAAGGCGATTCGAAGTTTGAAGCTTGTGTTTTCAATAAAACCGAGCTCTAAAAGCCAAAAAGCACATGGAGATGGAAATACCTTGTGGCATGCTGATCTTCTCGCCGTTCTTGCTCTTGAGCTTGTGCTTCTTGAAGGTGCCCTTGCGCTTCTTGACGTTGGGTTTCTCCTGGTTCTGGTTCAGGTGGAGGATGAGGAGGCTGAGCTCGCGCTCGAACACGTCCTGCTCCCACTGGGCCAGCTGCTGCTCGCGCTGCCGCAGGAACTCTTCGTGGGACTTCTGCTCCAGAGCCGCTCGCTTCAGCTCCTCTTCGCGGCACCGCAGCTCCTGATGGAGGAGGAAACGCACCGCCGCCCCGTTAGGGTTATTCTGCAGGCTATCTCGCTGCAGGACGGCAGCGAGGTAGCCTGCCACACACTGGATTTTATTTAGGGGCATCAGTGTAATGCCAACATTTGCTAAGCAGCCGAATGCTAAGTTCGCTATCTTTACTTTAGCAGTTCAATGTTGTTATTGGTGCCACAACATATTTTATTTGTGTAATATTCATTTTAGATACATTTTATTTTATTCTTTTTTTTACCTGCACCACTAACACTTGTATATTATGTATTTACTGAAAAACACCAAGTTTTTCAGTATTTTTTCAGCTTACTCCGGAAGCCGAGCAACAATATTTCATTGCCAAATTGACAATTTAATAGACACAGTTTCACTAAAGAGCACACAACAACATCTATTTACTTCAAGGAGCTTATACTACACATGGTGTAGCTCTATTGAAATACATTTACTTTACAATAACCACTGATTTAGCTTGAATAAGATTTAACTTCATAAAGTTGCCCAGGTTTTCATCATTGCTCTTCCTCAGACAAGAGAAAACAAGTAAAGCTTTTAAACTCTTTCTAGCTCTCCTTCTGGACTGCTGTTGTTTGGAATAGTCTGAAAAACAACCTGAGCTCCCAATAAACAACGGCTTTACAGCCTCCAATATATCCAGAGGTAACGTGTGTTCTTTATAAAGCCCAGCAAAAACATTACCGGCTTAAACCGGAGCTTTTGCTTTTAGTTCAACGGCGCTCACATTAAAATGCCAGCTCAGAGGAGCAGAAATATGTGCCGTTCTGCCAGTAAACGTTCGAGGCCAGGCCCGTTAAACGCCAGTCCAAGAGCTCGCGCGGAGGCCATCAGTTTTCGGTTTCGTTTGATGTTTTCAGCTCAAAATACAACAAATAAGCTTCAATCAGGAGAAGAGCTGCCTGTCTCAAAGGAGTCATGCGACGAACCGAAACATCTGTATAAAAAGGAACAATGAAGCTGGAAAGGAAATGTAGTAAAAGAATAAAAAAGGTTTGACATGTGAACTGTAATGTGGCTGCTTTTCAGCCACATTACAATAGAAAAGCAGTAAGTTTATTACCAAAATTACATATGTTGCAAGAACAAATCTGTAGATTCTCGTCAGGTTTTGTCCCATTATTTGATATTTACACTGAAATATTTCCTGCAGCAGACTTTTTAAACCAATAGTCTAATTTTTTCAGGCTTCTTCAGAGACTCTGATTGATATTTTGTAATACATATTTAAATACATATTTACAGTATTTAACTGTCTATACATATTACATATTTGTAAATATGTACTAGCATATTTACAAATATGTAAACATGTAAATATGTACTAGCAGCCCTAGTAATACTCAGTAGGGCTGCTAATATTATAATCACAGTGATGTGATCTGCAATAACTAAAAACGCTAATGTCTTTCTACTTTAGGTGCACGAGTAAGTCCTCCAACGTGCTTGTTGTACTAATAAGATAAATTAATTAATAATTAACAAGCGTGCCCTTTTGGCTTTTATACTGTAGTTCTTATTATGCACAGTAGATGGCACTTCAGGCAAAATCTGTTTATGTTTAATAACAGGCAGTAGAAGAAGAGTCTCTACAGGAAATGCATTGCTTACACTTACTCTAAAGTTTGGCCTCCAAAATGTTACTTTTAACCATTTTTTTAAACTAATATACCTTAACTATTTTTACTACTTTTATTTATTTTTATGTTTTTCTGCTTTTTAGGCATAATTTAGTGATAAATATTCTTCCTGTGTTTTAATTCAGCCATGAAATCACCATATTTTGAAATGATCCTTTGTTGTTCTTGTGCTTCTGTCAGGACATCCTGAAATGGAAAGAACACACGCGGCTTTTGGCAGCAACACAAAAATGAATAAAGTCATTTGTGTCAAATATCCACCATAATGTGAAAAACACATTTTAGGCCTTTATATGTAGGAATCCAGAAAAATGTCTAGACTGTCACTCAGTGTCAATGTGTCCAATTCATAAGGGCAGATCTATTCAATCCAATGCTATACTTTGTAATCTGAGCGATGTCATTCCTTATTATTTATCTAACATCCATTTAGAATTTCAAATAGCACTTTCTGAACCATTTAAAAGAAGGTTTGTTGCAGTTTATTTTTACATCTGACCAAGAAAACTGGTAGTCGACCTATTGTTTTTATCAGTTTCAGTTTCTTTGTTGTTTATATTGCCTACTCCTAATTAACTATTAAAATTAAAATTTTTAGAAGTTTGAGCACGCTTGTGAAGCTGTTGGTATGGTTAAGTCTTCTTTACTGGTGCAGTAACTCAGTACATTTATGTCTGTGTTCAAAATAATAAAAATAAACTTTTTTTGTCATTTTAGCACTGCTTTTTGTATCAGTATCAAACAATACTAAACCGCAGATATCAGTATCGGTATTGAAAGTAGAAAAAGTGGATTGGTGCCTTCAAAAGGCCAACCGTTTTTCCCCTCTTTATGATGTACCACCAGCTAATGCGTCGGCTTGGCGCTAACTGAAATGTCCGCCAGTCTCTTACCTTCTCTTTGGCCCGCAGCTCGTCAAACATGTCCTGTATCTCCAGCTTCCAGTCATCCTGCAGCGAGTGAAATGACTCCTGTGGCATCTCCTCCTTCACCTGCTGCTCCAGGGCGGTCAGCTGTGTCAGGATGGAGCCGAAGTCGGGCCGTCGGTGAGGGTCCTGGTCCCAGCATTCTGTCACACACAGACAGGCAAGCGTGTCCGTAACAAACTGTATCGCACATTGATGCCAAGAAGACGAGGGAATCGCTGGTAAGCCTGCGAACACCAGATCTGTGTTTGACCACGGCTTGTTGCAGCTGCCTCCTGAAGACGGTAGAGAGTCCGACACGTTCAGCAGTTCCCAGAGCGGTTTCACTTCTTTTCCTTCAGAAACGAGGAAGTCGCTCGTTCACAACGCTTCGACTCAACAGCCGTCAGATCGGATTTTTACGACTTAAATTAGGCCCAGTGACTCATTGAGACGGCTGGTTCTGCACTGGAGAACATTTAATGGTGTTCCTGCCGTGCCTGTGACTTGTATTTACACGCGATCCAGGAGTTTATGCCAGCCGATTCCACGGATAAGCTGATCTCTTACTGAGAGGGTTCTGCCTAATTAACCTGCTACGGGGGGATTTGGCATCATTTGTTGTAAAACTTTGGGCACAGTAATAATAAAACAAATCCATTAGTTAAATAATCATCTGGGGGCCAACAGTGATTTAGGGTTGTTGTTGTTTTTCTTCAATAAAGAAAGATGACAAAGCATGAAAAAGTATATTATACCAAAATATTCAAATATTGTTTCTGTTAAAAGAGAAGAAAAAAATTGCACAAGCTATATCCAGAACATACTTCCTCTTATTAAAAAAAAACAACAACACATTGTTGAATCTGTTTTCTCTCTTTTAAGTGCAGCTTTGTGAAAATGACAAAAAAAATAAAATAAATAAATATTTATATGTGATCGTTGCAATAATGAATCAATCCCAAACAACCAAACGGAGAAAAAAGCCCACCTGACATGAGCTGAGCGAAGGGTTCGGGGCAGGTGGAAGGGATGGGCAAGGTCAGCTTGTTGACGGCGACTCCATAGGCGACGGCAAGACCATCAATCCCTTTGTAGGGAGCCTCCCCTGTTAGCAACTCCCACAGCAGGACACCGTAGCTGGAAATGGGGGAAAAAACAGAAAACCACAGTTTGCTCAGAACAAAGTTGGACCAGTAAGGGTGCACCGATTGCAGGTTTCTGCCCCGTCAGAATTGGACTGATATGGTTTTGCTATTTTGTCTGAAATGCTGCTAAATATAGAAGGTGAGATCAGTAGATAAGATCAATTTTACATGCAACTGGCTAATTACTGATCTCCCAAACTTAAGAAAATCTGGGCTGATTTATTAGTGCACCAAAAAAAAAAGAAAGCAAAACTCAAGAATTGTAGAATATATCTCCTTCAAAAACTCTCATTTATAAAATAGGTACATTTGTAGAGTCGTAAAGAGATTCCGTTGTTCTGACGGAGCCCTCACGTACCAACATTTTTTGATGTAAGCTAAATCTATTAAAACCAAAGAATGCTCAGCATATTTCATTGTGAAGCAGGTGAATAATTGTGAAGTGGGAGAAAATTTTCTTTGGAAATAATATTAATTAAAAAAAAGAAAAAGTGGCATTGTTTTCACTTCTAATGACCCTAAATAAATGGTAAGAAATAATAAGAAAATAAATGTGAAATTATATACAACTTCTTTTATTTTTATCTCAAATTTTTAATAAAATGATTTACATTTTTCGCATTTTCTTTTCCCTATATTTCCCCTCCCCATTCTTATTCTCTTCCTAACCAGAACTTTTAATATAATCTAGTTTCTGTAAATAAACATTAATAAAGACGATTCATGAACATCCGACAAACTATAATCCCACTGCGTCACATCTAAGTAAAGGCCACAGCCAAAAGCAAAACGAGTGCTTGGAAAATCCCACTCAACAATTCCAGCGCAACAGGAAGAGCCTGTGACCCGACAGATACTACGACCGAAACAGGAAGTGAGGTTGTAGTCCGTGGGGCACACGGAGTGGGAGGAGACTATGTCAATTACTGGTTCAACGACTACAGTACTTCTATCTTGAAAGAGAAACTGCTGAAAGATAAGATGAACAAAAAAAGAAAACGATAGCCTGACTGCTCTCCAGACAAACAAAGCTCTAAATGAGGAGGCAGCTGACTCACGCTCAAACCTGACCCACTCAGAGCCAATAGAAACTGTAGCATTGGTTCTTATTAAAGAGCAAAATAACAGAGAAATACAACAAATAGACAAATGACAAGAAACTAATTGGCAAGTGTTTAAAAAAAAAAGCTGCAGCTTACTTAATTTAGAAAGATGTTTACAGGAATAGTGACTAATGGCATTATTGAGAAAGCGATTAACAGCATTAAAACCTCTCAATTAATATTTTAGACATAATCTGTGTTATAGGTTCATTCCCTTTTTAAAAGTACATCTTACGTGGTTATTTAGATTGTACATGTTAGCTTCTGCGGTAGAAAAACAGTTTTCGGTGTATTTGATGTTTGACCAATTAAAATAGGCAATTAGAAGCACCTTTAGAAGGCTTTTAGGTTTTGAGGTTTTACAGTCAAATTCTAAGGGTCCACTGGGTAATAAATGGCAATCGTCATCGCACCATCAGTGTGTGCAGTATTTAAATCTCAAAGGCTTGCATGAGCGCAGACCATTTCAATTGTCAGTATATTTGTTCTCAATGTACCAGACACACACCAGACTTAAAAATCTAATGTCTGGAAACTATTGGTACTTTCAGATGATAATGGGGGAAAGGCTCCACGACTAGAGGGCGTTGCATCAGTGAGATGAGACTGCCAAGCTACCTTGAATGTGCTGTAGTTGTCATGCCACGCCACTATGTGGCGCTGTGATTTCAGCATGTCGTCTCTGATGAACCAAGTGCTTACTTAACATGTTCTGTGTCAGAAGAAGTGCTGAACTGAAAAGGCTAAGTAGCACATACAGTACAACGTTAGCTGCTTTTCCATTGACCATCTAATTGTGCAAAATGGAATTATGAAAATAAATTTGCTTGCTGAAAATATGTCAATTACAAAAAAGCCCAATTTAGTTACCTGAAAAACCAAAGTCTATGGGCTTTAGTTTTTCATCTCTATCGAAATTAGTGTATTTTGCAAAAATACTTTTCTTGCATCATACAACTGGATTTTACTACTGCCGAAAGAGACAAAGAACATGACGGGAAGTAGTAGGAGGAGAGTGATGGTATTGAATGCCTAATGAATTATCACGTGAATAAGCTTATTCACGTATGATTTTAATTGTGTTTCTAATTTAATGGAAACACTGCAACTGCGATATTGTGTTTTTTTTTCCTCCAACAATAGCAGGAAATATACAAAGTTTTACACACATTTGCAATGGAAACGCAGCTATTGTGAGAGAACCTGATCGTGTGTAAACGAACGTGTTACGGTTTCACTGAAAATTAGCTCAGTGTCAACAACGCCTTATATTTTAAGTGGCAGACTTACAAGAGTTCACATAGAGAAAGAAAAACTCATTTTTATCTGCATTCCAATTAAATATTTTTCTTATATTATGATGCCCTAAAGAGGTTGAACCAAACCTGCCGTCAAATGGAGCGATCAGTCACTAAATACAGAACAGGTGACCAGCCAACCATGATTTACACCTACCTATTGGATGACAGTGTGACACAGCATCTATTTTAGTCCCAAACACACAATCTGATAATACCATAGAAACTGGGCTCGCTCTTGTGCAACCGTGATAAAACCCCGTCATGACAAACTGATGCAATGGAGCATCATGCTGGATGAACCACATGCTTACAAAGCGCCAACAAGTCACGCATGATGAACACAGACAGACAAACAGGGAGAGTCTCTTTTTTTAGTTTTTGAGCACTCACAAAGGCTTCAGCACTGGGTCTTCAGAAGACGCAGCGTGGCGTAGAGGACTTGGATCACCCACACCGTCAATTAGCCCTCGCCCGGCCCTGACTGAGCGCGCTCTGCGGGCCCCGCTGTGAGGAGAGCACAGGGCCGCCGCCGCCTTTTTGTTTTTTATTTAGTCCTTTAATTACAACTTCCACACGTCGTGTGACTGCGCAGAAAGAAAGAGGGAAGGAAAAAAAAAAACGGCCTCGTCGGCTCGCACCCAGAGGCTGCCGTCGGGTTCCACTCCGAAAATCTGGAGACGAGCAGCCGAGGACAGATGAGAAAGAATACCAGAACAAAGATTGGCCTTGGGGTTTTTTTCTCCAAACGAAGGCTGTCTGCAAATGCAGACGTGTCGCCCCGTTCTCTCGCTGTTGGTGTTAAGATAGAAAGAAACAAACAGTGGATAAACTAAAAAACAAAACTAAAAAATTAAATGGGGGGAAAAACTGTAAACTTATACTAATTAGGGGTTTTCTTTGATAGCTCCAGCATATCGAGATTCTGTTTCGATGTTCTTTTGACTGTGTCCTAAGAAACACGGGGAGGAAAGGGTGATAATTACAGTAAAGCATATAAAAGTAGAAGTTTAATCTTGGCAAACAAATCTTGAGAATGACTCATCGATTTACAAAACTACAAATCTTTCTTCCTACTGCCAAGACGAAGAATTTGTGTTTACGTCCATTCAGATTCCAGTTCTAAAACACCACTTTAAGAAATCTCAGTCATTATGATAAACCCTAAAACCATAAGCAGGGGATTCCGGTTATAGTGTCTAGATGTGGCTCCATACACACACGCGTACACACACACACACACGCGCGTACACACACACACACACACACACGCACACACACGCACCGACACTAAGCTATTCCCAGATAAAGGGCCGCGGTCAGGTCTGGTGTGAGGCCTCCTTCTCTGTCTATAGCAGAGACAATGGGACAGTGTGCAGTACACATGTCTCACAACAAAGCACAGAGCAGGCCTTTGAAGGGAACGCCGTCACATGGTCACGGTGGCCTTGTTGCAATCCATCACACTGCCTCTCCTTCTCTTCATCAACAAGTCTCCAATTGCAACTTCTATTTTTTTTTCCTCCTACCAAACCACCAACTCCACTAGTTCAAGCTTTACAGATGATTGAAAACTGTCTGTTGTACACAAACCAAAACTTGTGAGCTTCTTCAGCACTTCTGCAAAAGTTGCTGGGACATGCTAGCATACACCTTGCAAAAAGTATACAAAGTATCCATTGGAAATCAAATGTTTTATTACATTTTTGTAAAGCTACAAGCACAAAACTTGAAAACCCGCCAGGCTAATGCTAGATTCATAACTGCGCCTCTGCACGTTGTAGCAGCGCCTCCGAACTTTTGTGAATTTTTGGGAGAAAACTGCACCGACATACGCATGAACTGCAAAAGTCACAATGCTTTTAAAAAAAACAGTTATATAACTCAGTCTGCACTGTAAGAACACAAAATCTTACCAGGTACTTTTGGTCTAGTTTCTAGTGCAAATATCTTAGAACACAAATAAGACAGACCTTTTCAGCAAGATATTGGAGATTATTTCAAGTCAATAATTCCTTAATGTTCATGAAAACCCATTAGTACCACTGGCAGTTTATTTCACTTTTGGGAATAATGTCATGCTGTAAGGAAAATAAAGTTCCAGTAGGACTAGATCATCAATATATATATATAAAAAAAATCTATCTAACTATCTATATAAATTGCTACATCTTTCTTTTAAGTGTACTAAGATATTTGCACAATAAAATGGTGTCCTTAGGTCTGAAAGTCTCCTAAAACATTCTTCTCGTCATTAAGGTTATAACAAGGATGAAGCAGGCGCACATTAAGCATCGATCAGACACCTAACCAAATATTAGCTTAAAAATTATAATTGACACGACTAAAAGAGAATTGTTTCAATGATATAAAGCCAAATTGTAATATAAAATTCTTGCCCAAGAGGAGTGGATGCAATGTTTCAACCATGAGTGTAACCATGCTCACCTCCAAACATCGCTGCCCTTGGAGAAGGTCGAGGACTTGATGACCTCCGGGGCCATCCAGGCGTAGGTTCCGGCCGTGCTCATCTTTGTGGTCTTGTGCCACTCCCTCGCCAGGCCAAAGTCAGTGATCTTCAACGTCAGCCCCTCCATGCATTCGTTCTCTATGGGCTGAGCCAGCAGGACTGCAGAACACAAAGATGGGTAGGTAGGTAAAGGAAGGAAGAAAAAAAAAAAGGTTTGTGTTAGACAGAGGCATCGTGACCCAAATTTTTTATAAAACGGACAACTTTAGAGTGATTTTGTCCCGTAACAGCAGATAAAAATCAATTGTGGCTGAGATTATCCTTCAGAACATGGATTCTCTGTTTCTTTCTCACTTCCTCTTGTTTTCAGCCCACTATGATCCAGCCACACACATTTCAGCAATTCCTGCGTCACACTTCACTTTCCTGTAGTAAATGCATTCGTCTTCGCCAGCCAAAAGTCATCAGTGCTCCCCTACATGGAGCAAAGTTATTCCATTGTAAGCATTGAAAATACAATGCTAAGGAAGTCATGTACGTCCTTGGGAGCAGGTTCGCTATGCTAGTCACACAAAGAGGAAAAACATGTTCAAAATTAACTTGCAGAATTCAGACGACTTCTGTAACATAAATATATTTATTTACATATGGATACTGGGCAGTATGGGCATTGAATTTAATTCCAATATTTTCTGGTGTGCGTTGCAATGAGCGTGAAACGAACATCATTATAAAATTACCCGTTTATTTTAGGCTGTAAATCTATGATTTTATGCCGTTAAAACCTTACAAACTCAGGAGGCTCTGCTCCCTGGACAGATCTCGCTGTTTGGGCTTAGAAAGCTTCAATACTAAAGGACAAGCTTTAAAACTCTCAGCTTGTTGAATAAAGACTCACAAAAAAGACCCTCAAATACAGGATTTTCTCTTAAGCAACAGTTATTTTGAAACTCTGACAGAGATAAGGACAGTGTTGAAGAATTCATCCCAAAGTACAAAATGATAGATTTAGAAGGAGAACACAAACACAAAGGTCAACATTACAATCAGAATCCTTGACCTGGGTCTGCTTTGCACTAGAAACTGTTGACTGAGTCACAGTTCATAAATTCAAACTTTAGGTACACAGCTACAAGCTAAGGTCTAAACTTGGTAATATTAAGCGTGTTTTCCTAAAGCAACCCACAGTGTGTATGCGTGTGTATGCGCATGTGTGTGTGTGTGTGTATGCGCATGTGTGTGTGTGTGTGTGTGTGTGTGTGTGTGTGTGTGTGTGTGTGTGTGTGTGTGTGGTGTGTGTGTGTGTGTGTGTGTGTGTGTGTGTGTGTGTGTGTGTGTGTGTGTGTGTGTGTGGTTAATGGCAGTTCAGGATCCCTGATCTGCTTGTTTCCTTATGCAGCCTGTTGCTAAGTGGCCTTTACATCAACTACTTTAATAAATCAGAACTTACTAGAGCCGATTTCTGGTAAGCTTCATAGCACTGAACTGGCAGGTTAACATACGTCATGGTCAAAGGTTAGTGACTGGGTAAAATTTAAACCTTCAAGAGGCTCGTTTTCACCAGACTAACTCCTGAGTATCACGGTGTGAAAACACAACAGCATTAAAAACTGTGAATCTGACACCATCATGCTCCATGTTTAGTCAACTGTCAGCTTGTCCAACAACAAAGCGATCAAAGGAGCGTAGAGCGGATCCTTGATGTTCTGCCTCCCACAGCACACCAGTCTCATGCTCTTATTCATGTCCTGCACCAAAACAACAAACTTCTCTGCCACCACAGACCTCATCATACAATAACACAACTCCTCTATTAGCACCCGGTCATACACTTTCTCTATGTCAACAAAATGTGAAATCTTGTCCAACAAGATCCAAGATCAACAAGATCAACATGATCCAGCCCCCTCTGGCCTTCCCTGTACTTCTGCATCAACAGCCCTAAGGAAAAGTTGCATCTGTAGTGCTATTTCAGAGGAAACGATTGCTGTAAGGATGCTTTTCAATGTCTGTAAAAAATATCCTACAGGAGACTTGTCTTTAAAGATGTGCCGATGATCAGTGTTGTGCAATCCTGGCAGGGCAAGTCTCAGTAGAGAGTCTAACACTAAGAATGGCAGTTGCTGCTCGACAGTGACGCTGGATCACATGTCTGAGAGCGAGCGAGCAAGTGGCAGTGGTGTCTTTCTTCCTCTTTGCTGACAGACCGGTCATCGTTCAGGGCACGACTTGCTGTCAAACTCGCAGAGGAGAAGCAGCAAAAAAAAAATATCACTCATTATAGGGAAGTAAGACTCCAGCTATTTGGAGTCACTTTCCAACTTTCTGCACTTGGCGCCTTTCCCGCTCTCCCTCCCCTCCTTCCACCCCAATGACAAAAAAAGAAATCGCTTTTGTCCAGACTCTCTTCACACATTAATACGAGTTCCATCTTTTCTCGTTGCATCTCTTGGACTTCCTTAGTCTCCCTTGTTCAGACATCCTGTGCTGCGCCTTGTAGCCCAGAGGCAGGGACTTTGACGTCACAAAGGAATGCATCACAAGAAGTTGTGTTGTCTGCTGTGTTTGTGGGAGATTTGAGGGGCGATGAAGAGACTCGGGTCTTTCACAATCTAATTTCAAGGCCAATTTATGCACCCTGTTCCGCTGAAGGTGCAAAGGCAGAAGATTAATCAAGGCTTTCAGTCAGAATAAATCAAGTTCTTCTGGTGGAGAAAAAAAGAAAAAAAGGTCTTGATCGTTTAATTCCCATCTGCATCCCCCTTTACATCGGAGTCATGGGTTCTGTGGCCAGCTGTTTGGGTTGGGGGAGTACAAAACAGAGTCACCCCACCACCCAGGTTCCTCCACAACTCTCGCTTGCCAGGATTTTGGCCAACTGAAGTGGCAACGCTATACATTCAAGACTGAAAGACGTTTTTTAAGCATGAAATAACCCATGGTATTTTTGTCAACACGTGTTAGGAGAGGTCACATGAGTCCAGAGAGTCAGACAGGAAGAGATCAGGATGTCAAAGACTGATCACCCAACTGTTGTTTCCTTACAACATCCGGAGGGGGGAAACATTTTTAAAAAGAACACCCCACTGTACACCAGAAACAGGGCTTGATGCTGCTTTCACTGTGAAAAAAGTATGTTTTGGGATTTTTTTTTTTTTTTTTTATAAATTTATAAATTGTCCGAATGAAAGAAAATCATTAAAGTAAAATCTCTGAGCCATCGTTCCTTGAAATAAAGGAACTGTTTCCCTTCTCACAGTGTTTCATACAGAATAATGAATGCCTCTGTCTACATTAAGGGAGATTGAGAAAGACAAAAGGAAAATTCAATTTATTTTCTTTCTTATCAAAAGAAGTCATAAGAAGCACTTTCCACCTGACAATTTTTAGCCAAGTTAAAAAAATTTGGACACTACTCACTTGAAACTCATAGAAAATACATTGAAGTTTTTTTCCTTTTAACCAGAACCATCTTTTAAAATGTTAACAAGCTGGTGTTTTGTGCATGGACGCTTTTCAGCTGAACTGCAGATTCAAGTCTTTGCAGTGCCACCAATCAAAGCAACCGAGCCTAAGGAGATCAACTCATTTACTGCTGTGAACGTTTCTAGGAAGTTGCATACAGTGGCCCAGTGTGTGAGAAAGAAATGAAGAGTTAAGCATGAGTGCACACTGAGAAAAAGTGAAGACCAAACCCCAGAGGTGCTCTGATGGGACAGCTGAAGCATCAAAAACGGCAGTTGATCAGTGACTCCAACGGTACATCCGGGTCTAATCGTAAAGTCTCAATAGAGGCGAGAAAGAATCCTCTTATGTACATCGATCATTCGGTTCAGTTATATAAAAACTGGTAAAAAAAATAAAAAATAAAAAGAAAGAAAAAAAATAAAAAGAAGGAAGAAGAAAAAACTACCACCAATGCATCTTAAAGTGACGCCTATTAGCAGGAAGCACGTGGTCTACCTGGTCTGCGAACTGACACGCATGCTTCTGCAACATCTGCGTGCAGCCGAGAGGAGAAGCAAAACACACACGCGAAAGCATTTCAGCAATCTCAGCACACATACACGCCGCATTCTTCCCCCACTTCCTGAGCTGAGGGAGAAAGAGAGAGAGAGAGGAAGAGAAAGAGATAGAAAAAGAAAGAGAGAGAGTGCATCCACAGTTCAGCCCTTGTCCGCCCCGATCCAGCCCTCCCCACTCCCACCATGGATGGCGGCTGCTGCATTAGTCAGCTGCTCACTGGATGGCATGTGGCAACGCACTGTGTCCAAATCAGCCGTTGACCCAAATAAAAACGAATGCCGCTGACATCGTCAAATCAGCAAGGGGGAGTTTTGAAGTGTAAAACAATTCCAAAGTTCCACGGTGGAAGAAACTCCTACCTTTAAGGTAATATTTTCTTTATAGAAAGGATTCCCAAAATTTCGAATGACATGTCCAATATTGGTTCATTATACGCCGTTTAAGAGATTCCACCTGCATCCTCTGTTATCTCCCACATTCCTTCCATTTTGGGAAGGTGTGTGTGTGTGTGTGGTGTTTGTGTGTGTGTGTGTGTGTGTGTGTGTGTGTGTGTGTGTGTGTGTGTGTGTGTGTGTGTGTGTGTGTGTGTGTGTGTGTGTGTGTGTGTGTGTGTGTGTTGTGTGTGTTTCCCAGAGTGATAAACAGAGACGGAAACCTGCCGTTTCAAAAGTAGGGGGCGGCGAGCAACAACAAGTATCATCAGCAGATCAGTCTTGCCCAGACAGAACATCGTCCTGATTGAGAGGGGAACCAACAAAATCACCACAGAGAAAACACTGTGACACCATCTCCATGGCAACCGGGCCTCTGTTTGGTTACTGTTTGCGGCCCAGAAACAAGGGAGCATCAGTTTCAGAAGGGCCCCATACAAAAACGCGGCCCAGACGCAAGCTTGGTGTTGCTGACTCAAGCTAATTACCGCTCATTCCTAGAAACACGCAGTCAGAGATCCGCCGAGTGTCTTTGGTTAAATGAGCCAGCTGACACGGCACAAAAAAACACTTTAACTTCATGGTTAAATCTGACTTTAACATAAGCAGAAAGAAACTTTTAGATCTAAATGTTGAGGTTATTTGTTTTACATGACGCACAACCCCTTTGAGGTAACAATCAAACACCTCTTATTTGAGCAA